TGCAGCTCTAATGCCTAGATGAGCTCCAGAGTCCCTTCTAACCTAAATTTTTCATGGAAGACAGTTGGGTTCCCTCCCCAGGAATTTTCTTTATGGTTTGCAGTGAGACCTTTTGATCTTGTGATATGTTAAATCATCACTAGAATAGTATTTTTAAAAAGCCAGAGCTTAAGGAGTAGAACATGAGAGTTGGGGTTTTGCATTTAGTTTTCCTTCTCTCCCTGTTCCCAGATATGCTCCTCAGGTGCTGTATGAGCCCTGTACTCAGGACATAGTGATGTTCCTTGTTGTGATGCTGTGCAACCAGAACTACATCCGAAATCCTTATTTAGTGGCCAAGCTGGTGGAGGTGATGTTCATGACAAATCCAGCTGTGCAGCCCCGGACACAGAAGTTCTTTGAAATGATTGAGAATCACCCTCTCTCCACCAAATTGTTGGTGCCCTCCTTGATGAAGTTTTACACAGGTAAGTGCTTTGTCTGTAGCTCACTGAGTGCACAGTGGTGAGTACTCGAAGGCCAAAGGTTGTGTTTGATGTGGTAACCATGAGAAAAAAACAGCACAAAAAACCCCAACAAAACCAAAAATTGGTAGATCTTGGGTCTTGCGAAGACGAGGCTTTATTGCTCAGGAACTGGGGGCAACAGCATTTAGATGGGACCTTGAGAATTCCAATCCTTCCACAAGCTGCTGTGCACTGGCAGCTGCAGCACTGTAGATCGATGTGACAGTTGGTTTTGTGGTGTTTGGATTCCCAAATTAAAGCTTTTGGTTTGCTTTTTGCTTTGCTTGTAAGGCAGCACTGGGATTGTAGAACTCCCTGTTGTAGTTTTGCTGGTCCTGTAGATTCAGATGCTTCAGAAGAGTTTTTGCACCGGTAAAACCAACTATTTTTGTTGGTCGGTTCCCAGGTCTGTTGTCTGTTCCCAGAATTTTCTTAGTGAAATTTTAGACTGTGGGATGAAGAGCAGACTTGAATAGAACAGGAAGTTTTGGTTTCTGAGGGTTTTTCTTCAGAAATGAGGTTGGGTCTGGGTTAGAAAATGTACAGTGCTGCTTCTTTTAATGGGGATTACGATGAAGACTTCTGAATGGGAATTGAATTCTGTCTCTTAAAGCTTGGTGCTCGCAGCTCATCCCACTGGAGGCAGTGGGGAGAGACGTGTGCTGTGGGGGAATCCTGCTGGGAGAGTTGGGATTTCAGTCCTGGGATCTGTGCTCTTTTCCAGACGTGGAACACACCGGAGCCACGAGCGAGTTCTATGACAAGTTCACGATCCGCTACCACATCAGCACCATCTTCAAAAGCCTCTGGCAAAACATTGCTCACCATGGTACCTTTATGGAGGAGTTCAAGTGAGTAAGAGGTTGTGTCTAGCACTGCTCCCTGCCACCAGGCTGCTCGGGCAGGGACCTGAGGAGTCCCTGCCTTTGGGAATGGGTGATGCTGCTTTCCATTGTCCTGTACATGGCAACCCCTCCCAGTAGAACTGGAGTGTTTCTAAGCTGAGCTCTGGACACCACAATCACCTTGGCTTTGGGGAATGGGAGCGTTGTTGGAAATATTCAGTGCAGGAGTGTTGCTGGGGTTGCAGTCTGCTCTGCAGGCCCACCTGCTCTGCCGTGATACCTGTGTTTCGATGTTTTCAGCTCTGGGAAGCAGTTTGTTCGCTACATCAACATGCTGATAAATGACACAACTTTCTTGCTGGATGAGAGTCTGGAGTCCCTAAAACGTATCCATGAAGTGCAAGAGGAGATGAAGAATAAAGAGCAATGGGACCTGCTGCCCAGGGTGAACAGAGCTGTTTTTCAAAGTGCCCTTTACTTATTTTTAATTTTTTTAATACAAGACCATTAAAACCCACTTTTTAATAAGGGGCAGCACCAAAGAGCTGCTCGTGAGAAGCGGTTCTCGATGCTTTTTCTTGCTGCCAGTATGGCCGTGGTCACTCTGGATGACATTCTGCAGAAAACCATCATTCTGCCTGGTTATGTTGTGCCTGGCAAAGAGAGTGGTGTGAAGTGGAAATAGTGTAACGTTTCAAATTGCTGTGCACTTAATTCTAAGTGGAGAAACCGAGACTTTAACCTTCCTGAAGGAGGTTTGGGAAGATGCTCGCCAGTTGAATTGACTTCAAGGAGTAGAAGCTTTTATTTTGTTAAGGCATTGATCCTTGGTAGATTTGATGCAGACAATTATAGTCCTGTACCTCAGAGCTCGGCCTGATTAAACAATAATTGTGTGTGTTGACCCACCAATGTCGGGTATTTCTGTTTTAAGGTTATTGATTTTAAAAAAACAAACCAAAAAGTACAAAAAGAAAAGCTATAAAATCCTGTTTGTTGAACATATTCTGGTTTGCTCTTCTGAAGCCTTTCTTCCTGCCTGTGCCTACCAGCAAGGTAAAGCCATTACTGTAGTTACAAAATGAGCTGGTACATCATCTACAGATTGTTCCACCGGGGAGTGTTTATTATTTATGGTGGTGCATAAATTAGAGAGAACCTCATTTGACTCTCAGATCCCAAGCTGGTTTTGAAGTTATTGGCATTTGGATGGAGAGGAAGCATAACCCAGTTCTGCAGCTGTGAGGAGCAGTTAGAGAATGTAAACAGACTCAATAACCGTGGGGGCCTGTGATGCCATTTGCTTTCATCCTCTAGAGTTGCAGAATTCAGGAGGATTGGTGCAGACATTAGGACTGGGTAGTAAAAGCGAGCAGCTGTACCTTAGATTCAGAGGTGCCTCACATCTGTGTTTGAGTTGCTGCCTGTTCTCTTGCCTAGATGCCGTTGGCACTGTGGCTGTGAGGGGCTGTGGGTGCTGCTGGGGGAGCTGTGACCGCTCTGTGTTTGTTTGCAGGACCAGCAGCAGGCGCGGCAGTCGCAGCTGGCGCAGGACGAGCGCGTGTCCCGCTCATATCTCGCCCTGGCCACAGAAACTGTTGATATGTTCCATATCCTTACCAAGCAGGTCCAAAAGCCTTTTCTCAGACCTGTAAGTCCTTCTCAGGTTTAAGTTGGTTTCTTGCTTCTCTGACATCTCTGGATAATAACCTGGAAGTGTTTGGTAGCACTTTGTCTCCATTCTTTTCTCCTCCCCTTTCTCCAACTCATTAAAGCCTAGTTGCTGTTGATGTTATTTGATGTGAGAGCATCACCTGAGTCACTGGGATGGTGTCATCCTTCTAGGCAGAAGCTGTTTGCATGGCATTTCTTAATGGCAAACATGCATAAAGAGCAGACACTTCCTACAAGCCTACAAAGGAAAAGTGTATTGGTTAATAATTCCTGATCTTGCTGTGTGCAAATCCAGTGATAATCTTCACTGTCACTGCCTTCACACTTTGATCTCGTTTACTTTGCCTTTGTAGGAGCTTGGACCACGACTGGCTGCTATGTTGAACTTTAACTTACAGCAACTGTGTGGCCCCAAGTGCCGTGACCTGAAAGTCGAAAACCCAGAGAAATATGGGTTTGAACCAAAGAAGCTGTTGGACCAACTGACGGACATTTACCTGCAGCTGGATTGTGCTCGCTTTGCTAAAGCAATTGCTGATGATCAGGTGGGCTCCAGAAGGATGAGGGGAAGGGCAAAAGCACTGTGGACAAACAGGACTCTGCAGAATACCCTAGAAGTGTTTCATCTGTGTGCTGCCAGCCACTCTGTCTTCTACATCTGCAGTTTGTTTTCTTTCAGCAGATCGTCTCTGTTCGTATTCTGTCTGCTCGTTGTAGATGGATGTTCCCAGTGTTTTGCAAACTTATAAACATACATAAATATCTATAGCACTTCGCACACAGAGGAAATTTCCTGAGCTGCTTATTAGCTACAGCCTTGTCGTAAATTAGCAGAAGTACTTTGTCCCTTTGCAGATGGCACAGGGAGTTTTGACTCCCTCCCCCTTCCTCATCAAAACAGCTGGGACAAAGAGTCTCATTTAACACATCAAAGTTCATTAACAGTTTGCAAATTGTATCCCCTCTGATATCACTTTATTAAATGGCTGTGTAATAACCTGACAAAGCCCAGCATGAATGAGACAGTTAAGGACACCTTTGAACTCCTCATGGTACCATTAGCAGCAAGATAAGCTATTGCTCACCTCTGTGTCCTTGCAGAGTTGTCTCAACTACTGAATTACATCTGTCCATGCCTGTGTGTTAAAATACAAACTTTTCAAAATACAGAGGGGGGAAAAGTGTTGTCAGTGGCTCCTTGAAGCTCTAGAGGAAGCTGGTTTACAGCACAGGAGGCTGTGCTTGCATGTCTAGTGAGCAGCAGTACTGGGGTAACTCAAGATTTTCTGTAATTATTTAAGTTCTGATAATTGCAGATAATATCAGGAACACTTCTGAAACAGCCCTTATGCATCTGCATGTGTATAATGAGCATTCTGTGCATTTTGATGCTGGTCAGTATATGAGAAAGTGAGGGTGTTATCCATCATTCCTCCATGGCAGCCACAGCAAACACACACACTGACGTAGGGGCTCGAAAGAAAGAAGCCTGCGGGTGTGGGAACTGGAAAAAAGCCCCATTAACAAAGTGGCCCTTCAGAAAAAAGGAGTGGGGGGAGTGAGCAGTATCTTGGAAACTGTCAGTGACAGGAAAGAACCACCAAGGAAATGTGTGGCTGGTTAATGGCTGCTGGGATTGGGAGAACAAAACAAAACAAACAAAAAGTTGCTTGATCATGGCGGGGTCTCTCTAAAGCAATTTGAGCCGTGTCCCATTTGCAAATCCCAGCACGTTGGAGAGGGAATCTGCAAACGTTTCTGCAGCCCCGGGCATGTTGCCACAGCTCCGTTCTCTCTGCACTAGAAAGGAGTTTGGGTGGGCACTGTGTGTCCCGAGTGCTGAATGGCATTGCTTGGTGCCATGTGGGGGAGATGAAAGAAGTGAGGCTGCGTTGAACACTTCAAAAATCCCAAGGGAAACAGAAATCTGTGAGACTCACTGTGTTTTGTTTTGTCATGTAATTCAACCTTGCACTGCAGTGTAAATAGTGTTTTTTTATTAAAAGGTTTACATCAAAACACGGCACTGTGAAGTTAAAAGGAAACAGTGTCTGTAGAACAGAAGCAGCTACAAAAGTCCTTCCGTAACTCGATTTTTCACATGAGAGCAATGCTTGCTTTGTGGGAACTACAGGATATGCATTTGGTCTCTCTGGATATTCCTACTGCACCGGTTGGCAAATCTCCAGCATTTGCTCCCTCTGAGCTGCCTTACTATTTTTGCAACATCATGGGGTGGCTTTTCTGTTAGTTCTTCTTTGGATTAGGAGAAAGAATCACTTCTTTCCCAGTGCTGCCTTGCACATTAACAGAGAAATTAAGAAATTAAAAAAATTAATTCATTTTGTGCTGTGTTTGCAGCCAAGACTTGTGAGAACAATAATACAGACAGGAGAGTGGCAAGACAGATGTTTTGTGTGAGGAACAATCCTGATAATCATAGTCAGCCTCTCTGAGTGACTTCCTCATTTTCTTTAGGTGATGTTGCCTTTTTTTGGTCCTGAACAGTCCTACAGTGGTGATGACTAGTAAAAAAAAGAATCATAAGTGTACCCCAAAGTTGACCTTTTGGTGCTAGATGAAATGTTACCACATACTGCTTTTGAATCTGATGTAAGCTTGAGGTTTCATCGATCCCTTCTTCTGCAGTTTTAAAAGTGCATTAAAATATCTTCAGCATTTTTATGGCAGGTGAGGATCCTACAACTCAGCAAAGTTGTCTTTTTGTGCTTTGCTTTTAGAGGTCCTACAGTAAAGAGCTCTTTGAGGAGGTTATCTCCAAGATGAGAAAGGCTGGAATCAAGTCCACCATAGCAATAGAGAAATTCAAACTGCTGGCAGAGAAAGTGGAGGAAATTGTTGCCAAGAACGCCCGTGCAGAGATTGATTACAGCGATGCTCCGGATGAATTCAGAGGCAAGTGGAGTTTCCTAAATAGTGACTGTCTGGAAGAGGGATTTGGTTTGTTACTTCAATTCTAAATGTTAATAGAAACTTAGATATTATTTGTGAAGCCTTGCATCCTGCCCTATTACAGCTAGATAGGTAAGTAAATAGAGAGAGCTAAGAGTTCCTTTGTTTTTCCCTGGGATTGTCCAGTCCTAGCCATCCTTTGCTTACATGTACTTGAAAACGGTAAAAAACCCCCCCCAAATCTGAAAATCGGGTGAAAATAGCTAATGAGGAGACACCTGTGCCCTCAGATCCGCTCATGGACACCCTGATGACTGACCCTGTGAGGTTGCCATCCGGAACTATCATGGACAGGTCGATCATCCTGAGGCACCTGTTGAACTCATCCACTGATCCTTTCAATCGTCAGACGCTGACGGAAAACATGCTGGAACCAGGTACTGTGGAGCAGCTGGAACTGTGGGCTGGGGGAAGCGCTTTGTGGGCAGGTCTGTGCTTTCAGAGGACAGTGGTAGAGGCAACAGTTCTTTCATCTCAACTTGCACAGAAGAGTTCATTCCTTCTGCTTTCCCTTTTTCTATGGGGGGAAAAAACCCTCACAGCCCTTCATAACTACTGGGTGAGAAATGTTATGATATATAAATGAATCATTCACTTACCCAAAGCTGTGCAGAAACTGCATTGAGGGAGAAGACAACAGTAGTAGATAATCCTGATCAGGTCACTAGAGAAGAAATCTCCATTGATCATGAGGAGCTCTCTTGTAGTTGTATTACTAAGTAATTTAATCATTCTTTTTTCTTTTTTTTTACCCTATCAGTGCCAGAACTTAAAGAGCAAATCCAAGCCTGGATGAGAGACAAGCAGAATGACCATTAGGAACTCCCTTGCAGTGCACGCCAACAGCAGTGGGGAGAGCAGGGCGTGGGCTGTTGTGGCAGTAGTGGAGCAGAAACACTTGGAAGCTGTTATGGGATTAGCACGCCCACGGCACTGACTTCAGTAGTGACCAGGAGCATGTGGCCGAGGAGAAAAGCAGCTTAATTCTTGTACATATATTTAAGTGATAACGATGGTCAATAACATGGAGGACAAGCTAGGAAGTTGCTTATGTTACAAAACTGTCCTTCAATATGTCACATTTTGGAGTTTTTACAGCTGAATTATTTTAGCAAAGACGAATGGATCAGGGCAGCATCCCTTCAACCTTGTTTTTTACCGCCAGATATCCGTTAATTTGATTGTGGTTAGAACCTTGGACATTTTGCTGCTAAAGTAACTTTTTCCTCTTTCCCTCCCTTCTTTCTGTTCCACCCATCAAACCTGCACTGCTGTCTCTTTTTTTTTTTTTCTCTTTTTTTTTTTCTCTTTTTTTTTTTTTTGTAATGCAAAAAAAACCCCCAACAAACCCTGTGAAAATCAAAATCATTCCCCTGCCCTCAAAAGAACATATTCTGTGCGATAACTGTGCCTGCAACAAAGTGTTCATCTTGGGATCGTATTTTTATATTACACTCATCCGCCTATTTGGGTTTTAATTGGTGTTAGACACAAGGATCATTTCAAAAAAGCAAAGACTTCACACACGGATTTTGATTTCCATTCCTTTACGTTGATCAAGACGCTCTGGTATTTGTGAAAAGCCTCGAGATAGAAATATGTTAAAACAGCTGCCATGAATGAGATGCTTGGGAATACCAGGATTTCAGTGACTTTTAAACAAAAGAAATACATTCTTTCAATGCTGCAGATATGATATATGCTAACTGACAGTTCTGAGCCATTCGAGCTTGTCCACAGAGAGCAGATACTTTTATCCTTGGAGGCTGCAGTTTGGGGCAGGGGTCATTTTTTTTATGTTGCTACCAATTTGTATCCATGGCTTGGCCTTACCAAAGCAGAAAAGGGTGCAGGAAATGTAGAATTACATTTTTAAAAAAAAAAATGAAAAAAAAAAATATTCACAAACATTTTTGTATTACTGCCCCCTGCATATGATACTTGAATTTCCTTTTTAAAAAGGATTTGAAACCACAGTGTTTTAAAATTAAGTCTGAAAAAACAGGTTGTTTTTCTTTTATTTGTTTTTTCGCCGTGTCTTCTGTTCAATTCCTGACTCTCTTGAACTACAATAAATGATACACACTCGCACAGGATGTTTGCTGGGTCTTTCTTCGGGAGCGTGTCGGTGAAAATATAAAACATACAAATGGTTGGGTGGCTTTGTTCAGGTTTGCTGATATGGTTCAGGATTGGAGATAACTTAGTAAATTCTGTGTAAAATGTCTGTGCACACAGATACCAGCAATACTTTGAAGTCAGGAATGTTCCTGGCAGGTGCCACCGAGCACCTATTCATAGCGCTGGGACAGCTGCTGGCAGCTCCAGGGGGACTTTGGGGCAGGTTATATATAATCCAGGGTTCACCTCTGAGCTGTGCAATTAACTCTAAATTATTAAATGTGAAGATATAGTGTGGGGGGGGTTGGGGGTTTTTTGTTTGATTGATTGTGGGGGTTTTTTTCAGTGGTGCTTCCCCCTGCAGAGTGTGAACGTGTGTGTCTTTACTCCACGGGAGGAGGATTCCACAGCTGGTGTCTGCCTGGACTGCTGGAACAGTTTTATAATTATAACCTTGACTCCTTCCACAAACTCAAATCCCCCTCTTCTTCCCTCTTCAAAAGTCACAGAACAAAGCCTGCTCTGCTTTTACCTGCAGGCTGTCCCTCAGCACCCACACCCTGCCTGGATTCTGCTGTGCTGTGGGTGTGGTGAGCTGTGAGCTCTTCTTTGGGGAAGAGGGAATTTCTTTGTGTATAAAGAAAAACTCTTACATATTTCACTGTCCCCTCTTTATTAAGAATTATTGAAAGAAATCTCTAGAAACATCCCAAAATTTATTCTTTCTTTGATGGAGGGCAACTGTCCACGGTGTGTATTTGTATTTATTGGAGAATGATTGAACTGCTATGGTTTCACATTATGGCTTTTTTCCTGCATGTTAATATATATTATTTTTATTGACAGACTGTGAATGTGTTGGAAAGATGGAAGAAATGCTTTCTTCTCTAATTTTCTCCAGCTATTACCAATTAGACACACCAGCACCTTTGGTGAATAAGGAGCAGTCTAATAAAATGAGAAGAGCACAAGCAGAAGTAATCCAGCCTTAAATTAAAACCAGCTGGTTGCTTTAGTGTAGCCTGTACAGGGCTGGAGGTCTGCTGCTCTCTAAGAGTTCTTGATATTTTACATTTGAAATGTAACCAATAGCAAAGAGGTTTGTGAATTTAAATGTTTTACCAAGAATTCTGTATGGGTAGCTGTTTTCAATAAAATGAAAATTCTATATTTTTATTTTTTGACAGGAGGAAGTAGGAATATTTACCTTTGCTGTGGGATGTATTAACCAAGACAATGCCCTTCAGAATCCGAATTTATTCTGCCATTGTGTCAGGCTCTGACCTGAGGAGTATAAATAGCAAAGTGCATTACTGGAATGTTTTGTCTAATTATGGCACACATCTATCATTTGAAAATATGTCAATGCAGATATTGCACAAGACACAAAGGCTTGAAATAAGTGGCCCAAACAATTTTATCTGGAGAACTAGCATCGAGTATTTCAAAGGTGTGAGCTCAGACAAGTGCTTTCCCAAATTCAGCTCTCAGGGGCAGAATAATGGAATGTACTTTAACAGGAGCAGCTGGAAAGTGCCATTCTATTGCTCTCCAGGCACAAAAGTGAACCAAACCCCTCTCTTTCAGGGGACATTTGAGGAACTGAAAAGCAAAGCTGACGCCGGATTAAAAATAAATCTCCCACAAAAGCATATCAGTTGTGGGACAATTCTTAGTTTAATTAATTTAAATGCTACCTGCAGTTTTTTGTGATTTCCCTTCCCCATTAACATGTCATTTCCCTTCTTCAATCCAACTGTAACCTCACTACAATGCAGAGATATTGTGTTAGAGATCACAGAAACCATCAGTGGTCGAGTTACATTTGACACTGCCCTGTATCTGCAGAATATAAACATGTGAGCTGGGAATGGCTCATCCTGGGAATGGGTAACGTTATACAAATGTTGCAAAATGGGCTTCTCTCGGAAAATTTTAATATAAGATCGTATCACTGGTCTCTACTTGTGCTCCAGCTCCAGACTAGAAAAATTCCTGGGGCAAGTGCTGATGTTACAGCAATACAGTTCAGCACAATTGATTCTATTATATCACAATTTATACTTATGTAAGGGCACAATTTACATCTCTGTCAACTCTCCCCTGCTGGCAGCAAGGACAGCTAATGCTGTTTAATAGCAGGATGACAACCCTGCTGTCAGCCACCAACAGATTTACTCTACCAGCCCCCAGGAGCCTTGCTCTACAGCATAGCTCTCTTTTCCTTATCACTTACCTTAAACCTCCCCTCTTGCCTGTGTTTAAACAGACTTCCCTGTTTTAGGTAGCATTTGAGTAATCAACTATATTTCTTTGTACTAATAAATGCAAGAAATTACTACTTACTTTCATTTTTCTGGAATAATAATGCTCAAGAACATTTTTCTTGGGCTGGGGACCTTCGTTGTGTGACTTGTCTTGAAAAGGAGTATCCTAAATTCTAGATTTAAGCACACACCTGCTTACAGGGAATTGGATGTTTCTGCTCTTTTCAGGGTTGTGTGGTGGTGTCAGAAACATAAAAGGAGTAAGAATGGCCCCTTTCCTGTAAGGGACTTGACAAGAACTTCTTAAGCAGGATTCACAAAACAATGCAGTAGAATTCCACTTAAGTACGTTTTTTGATAATTCTAAATTACCCAAGGATACCTAATTTTCAAAAATGATACTGAGAAGGCCATTCTGATTAAATTGAGGTAAAATGCCGAATTCTATAATTAAAAAGGCATCACAACCAGTTAGAGGAATACTTGAGCACCTTTCTACTCTGTACTTGAATATTTAAGAGGCATTTTCCTCAGCTCCCTTCGCAGTGAGTGACCTCCCAGATGCCACACAGCACGTCCTGCCCCTTGCTGTTTCCCAACGTGTAACTTGATTTTCCCTGACTGTTTCTGGCAGATTTTTCGAGCCCCTGTGATCAAATAACTGAATTAACGTCCTGGAGCTGTTCTGGGTGAGCCCTCCCCAAACTTGGGCATGAGACTGATGCAGGAACTGCTGTTCCTAGGAGACACTACACAAACTTTGCTGAAGGAAAATGAATCACAGTGTCTGTTGCCACGGAGGGTTACAGCACACGCCCGGTATTTGAACAGTTTGCAGGGGATTTTAAAACAGGGTTTGGGGTTTTTTCAGGCGTTTTTGCCTTTTTTTTTTCCCCAGGGAATATATAGCTGACCTAATTCTGCACAGCCCCAGGTGGAAGTTAGCACAGTTACACCACTTTAAAAACACCATTAAATCATCTTTTCTCTCCGTAGGAAGTATTCCAAAGTTCAAATGATGGTATGTATTTTCTAGGACAGAGGAAAGCCACCTATTTTTGATTTGTTGGTTCTGTGGCAATATTTCCCTAAAACCTCTGTTCAGCCATGGATTGTTTGGCTTTTGCATTTGTTGGTGTAACTGCAGATGAGGCTGGCAAGGGGAAATAGTCACTTTTCACCAAACAAACTAACACATTCTCCCAAAAATCTGAAATTTGAGGGACACAGTGTAGATTAACACAGCAAATAGCCAGGAGCCTGTGAACAAAAATAAACCTTGTTCTGAAACCACAAATCCCAGGTCCTGAATGTTCTCCACAGCTTAAATCCAATTCGTACGTGATGATATATGAAAAATATGTAATTAAAGTATTTCATATAATGTGTTCTTTTTCAAAATGCTTAAATACTTAAGCCTATTTCTAACAGGAGAAATTCTCAAAGTGCTACTGGAATGGAAGAACTTTACAGCTAATAATTGCCACAAAAATAAAAATTTACTATGAGAATATGCATGAAATTATGGAAAGTATGAGAGTTAATACAGCACTACTGACTAAATGTAATCATTTACTTAAAAATACAGTAGGAGCTCTACAAATATAATTCAGGCTGCTCAAAAAAGAGTTTTGAACAGGAGGGGAGGGGATAATTAATCCCTCCCCTCAGAGCTACAAGCCTTAGGCCTAGTTTAGGACTCCAAATCCCACTGAACCACACTGAACTCGGGGGCTGGGGAATTCGCTCCCTCAGACCCCGCGTTCCTGCAGCGCCCACCCACTTCGGGCAGTCGAGGCGGGGGCGCCAACCAGCGTCACATCACACCGTAACCCTGCTTTTTTCAGGCACAAGTGCCCGTTTCTCCGCACATTACGCCGTATCCCTGCTTTT